ACCCCCTTCCAAAATTAAAGTTTTAAAATTTTTTTAAAAAAAAAAACCCCCAAAAAATTTTAAAAAAAAAAACAAACCCAAATTTTTAAAAAAATTTTTTTTTTAAAAAAAGTTTTTTTTTTTTTAAAAAAAAAAAAAATTAAAGGGGGCCAAAAAAAAATTTGGAAAAAAAAAAATAAATAAACCCCTTTTTTTAAAAAAAAAAAAAACCCAAAAAAAAAAATTTTAAAAAAAAAAAATTCCCCAAAATTTTTTTAAAAAAATTTTTAAAAAAAAAAAATTTTTTAAAAAAAGGGAAAATTTTTTTTTCCAAAAAAAGGAAACCAAAAAAAAATTTTCCCCCTTTTAAAACCAAAATTTTTAAAAAAAAAACCATATAACCAAAAAAAAATGATATATTTCATAACCTTGACATAACCTTTGAACAAAATTAGCATTTTTTTGTTATCTGAATTTTTTTATTAATTTCAAGTAAGTTTCATGTGACTCAGAGGATCTGGGGCTGCTCTGGAACCAACCAACTAAGTATTGAGTCTAAATTAAATGCTCAAATAACTAACGACTTTCCCTAATGGGGCTTGAACCCGCGGCCAACAACACTTAGTTTACTGGTCTGATATGTTAAACACGCTAACATGCCACTACTATTTATCTCTTTATTAAACTGCAATGGTTTCATTTATATTTGATATTTAAATTTTTACAAATCTGGAAGTCTGCTGCTTTAAATTCGGTTCCCTTTCTGATGTAATAATCTTTTATGCAGATTACAACCTATGACTATCACAAACAAACAAGGCCTATGCTACTGTTATGCCAAAGGTGACTCGACATTTAAATATGCTTGAAATTTAAAAGAAAAACAAAGAAAACCCTTAAGAGAACATTAAAATTTATAGGTATTAAGTTAACGACGCCTTAAATCCTTCCATCACAGCCTCTTATCGTACATCAAGAGCAATTAAAGCTAGATTATCAAACCTTCACATAAACACAGACCCTTTTCTCTTTCTTCGATCACGAACAAAAAAATATGAGCCGCGTCATGACAAAACCAACATAATGGGTTTGCGACCAGCATGGATCCAGACCAGCCTGGGCATCCGCGCAGTCTGATCAGGATCCATGCTGTTCGCTAACCAACTCTATTGCAAGTAGAGAAACTGATTGCGAACAGCATGGATCCTGATCAGACTGCGTGGATGCGCAGGCTGGTCTGGATCCATGCTGGTCGCACACGCACTATGTTGGTTTTGTCGTGACGCGGCTCATATATTATGAGATAACATTATGAACTGAAAAACTTGGCAAACTGAACCACAGATAAACTCTGATCATAAATTTCAAGGTATCTTTAACTTTTAACTCTGTGCAAAATCAATCAAAATATTCAATCAGTTTTTATTAATCGAGGATATCCGAATCCAGGGTGGTTTTTGGCGTATTATCGTTGAATGTTAATTAAATGCAAATTTATTCCTATGTAAACCCCAAACTACTGTATATTTTTTTGGTATAAAGTTTTCTATTTACTATCAAGTTTAAAAAAATTTTATCGGGTTTTTTCAACACCAAATGTAAATGAAATTAGAAAATAAAACCCGGGGTAGAATTAGGTCAATACTAGAGCGAATTTATGTATAAAACAAATTAGTTTACTCATAATTCCAAATTTGCCCAAATTTTGTCGCGTAAAAAAACAAAAATTTTTATCAAAAATCAGAATTTCTTTTTTAGGGAAAAAAAAAACAACAAATCAGTTTAAAATGCTTTTTTTTTACCAATTTAGCTTAAAATATTTAAAAATCTGTTTAAAATTAAAACCCAAAAATTTTGACAACAAACTTTTTGTATTGTAACATTTCTTATTAAATCTTGAGATTTTAAAGAACTTTTGGTATAGTATTTCAAATCATCATCACCATGATTATATCCCAATATAATTATACATGTTAATATTATATCTAGAGATAACCCCTCAATAATTTAAAAATAATATTACTGATAATAATAGAGTCTATCTGTTTGTTTGGTTTTACGGTGCAGCAACACAATTTTGGTCCATATGGCGTTGAACCAGAGAAGATTTCTTTGGCCAACCGAAGGTTGTTACAAACTTAATAAGGCAACACTTAAGGGGTTCAAACCAAACCCCTTATGGCTGGATCTAATAGACATACAGACTCCAGAATTTTAAAATTTTTATTTGCCTCTTTGGCCAAATAGAAAGAAACATTTGGCAATTTGAGCCTCAACCCATTAAACAATTACCCTCAGCCACATAGGGAGTCATTTAAAAGATGAGATCAAACAATCCTTACTAGCTAACTCTATGGTATGACTGCAAAAAACAGTGATATAAAGAAATGCAGGCAAAACAGGGGTGTTCTTCATTCTAATTATAATAAATTTAACTCTCCACCTAGTGAATACAACAGGTCCAAAATTCGGATCTTTACTGCCCTTTTGTTGTTTTTTTTCTTTTTTAATAAAATTTACACAAATTTATTTGGGAAAAATTTTTTTTAAACCCGGGGAATCATTGAAAATGCTAATTCAATTGTACTAGGGGGTCTTTCAAAACAGGGTTTCTATTTGATACTTGATATGGGTTAAAGATGTTCATCCATTATTAAATTAACATGCCTTAACAGACGTTGTAACTTCAAAAAACATAATTCTTCAATATATAATACATGAGCACGGGTTAGACTGAACTTCAATTTTTTACTTTACAATATCCGACATTTTCAGTCAGTCGTTAGTTAATGATTTCCTTTTCAATGGCCAAGCATATTAATTACACATATAGCATAAATTTTTACTACCATCCTGAAGAGCTTTTTGCAAGTAATAAATTCTTTTCTATAATTTTCCAAAATCCTTTTTTTTAGAGATCTGCAATGTTCACTTAATGCACTTGTTTTCCCCTCCCTGCCAGTCAATATTTTAATAACTCAGTAATTAAAGTAAAATAAGTAGTCACATAAAAGGCCATATTAATGAAAATGATAACATCAAAATGAGAATAAAGGTGAAAAATTCAAAGGTAGAACTTGAGTTCACTTTATTACAGTTCATACAGAAAATTTTAAAGGATGAAAATATCTTCAAAGAGCTGTTAAGAACATGTCCGAAATTATTATTGCCAAAAGCAATATCAGTGAATTGACATAAAAATCTTCCTGTTCAGTTGGAACTGATAATTTATTTCTTTAATTCAATTAGGGGTGTTGGAATTTTTCATTTGGGAAAACTATCAAACAAGCTTACGGAAAATCAGCGGTTTTACCAGCTAAGGTACCAACTAATCGTGTCTGACATAATGCATTGAAGCACATTTGAGGTCTTCCGTCCCCAGTAAAGCTAAGAAAGTCCCCTATAACAATGTCAGTGTTACATTAAACCAACCAAAAATAATTCAAAAATTACAATGTAAAATTTATTAATTTAGCATCAAGCAAAATGTAGACCAGTGAAAGCTTGAACATCTGCAGTCATTATGCCCAAGCTCAGGTCTTCAACACAACACTAAGGTGGCATGATTTGTTATTTGTTACTGCAGTTAATCCAGAAAACCTTTTAATTTTTCACCTAACGTAATATCCAGGGGACATTATGAAATCTGTCTTAAGCATTTTATAAGTCAACGTTCAATTTTTGATTTTGATAACCTCTTTATTTTTAAGTACCAGGTGGCACATTCCATTTTTCACAAGTTTTGTTTATAAGAGAAAAATTCCTCGACAATTAAAATCAAATATTTCTCCCAATGATATACTGACAAGTTTATAATTTTTGACCAATTAAAGTTTACATGGTCATAACATTCTTTCTTTTAAAAAGGTAAGTTTGAGTAATAAATCAATTAACAAAATTATATTTGACAGGTTTATTATGGCAATCATCACTTGAAAGCAATGATTTTAATACCAACTACCTATATAAACAGAAGTTCCTGGCACTATTATTCATGAATACTAAGATAGCTCTAAAGCTTGGACGGGGGTCCATTTTCCAAAGGTTTTAAATTGCATATTTTATCAACTTACATCAACCCACTTCCCTAAGTTTATTTGCCTTCCAATATTTGGTGGCAGATTTGTTCAATATTTTTGTCACTAATACCAACATTAAGTTCATCTTATCATTTATTTTATAATATTCCTCAACTGTTAACAAATAAGAACATACAGTGTATATTTAAATTTGGCTGCAAATATTATTTTCCTAGAAATGTCATGATAAATATGCCACCAGGAGAGAGCCAGGCCAGCCTGTACATCCTTGCAGTCTGACCAGACATTATAACAGACTGACTTATTTCAAAATTTTATCTTGATGTCCCTAAAATTGGTAATAGACAGTTCCTGATACTGAAGCTGAACTGGTCCATTTAAGAAAATGAGCAGGTTATAGTTTAAAGCAAATAGCAAATAGCTTCACACAATGCTAGTCTGAAAACTTAATCATCATATAACATTTAAATTTTGTTTATTAATTTACCATATATTACTTCTTTCTTTCAGTATGTGCATGTCATGGAGAGGCCTTAGGGTATCGGCAGAAGTTTTAAAGAACTTAGGACGGTGTTTAAAAAACCAAAGCTTACCACCTACAGACCAGATGACTTAAGCCAATGACCGATGGCCCTCCAAAGAAGGCAGAGACAACGAGGAAGGGTATGACTAAAATACAGGAGCCCTCACTCAGTATAATGATCAGATGGCTTAAACAGCAGCGCATTTTGTCTCAAAACTCAACTATCTTTAGTATCTCTGGTTACTGTACATTTAGGTGTTCAGTGACTGCCCGCTGTAATATTTGGCTCAAAATTCGTATCTGGCTAATACTGTGGAAATTGCATGGAGGTAAATTATCACAATTTTGTGCTTCAAATTTAAATCAACCCTATATGGGCTGGTGGCATGTCCAATGTCCTTACTTGATAGTAAAGACTTATTTGTGATTCAAGGGGTGGATGGATTCTCATTAAACATAGACTAACTGGACTGAACCATATATTACTTACTATTTTTATTGTTTTCATATATATACGATGATGTAAGATGGCTTGCTGTTGGACTGTAGTTATTGCCGATAGAGTCACTGACTTGTATATGATGTTTCTTTTCCTTGATTGGCGCAGCTTTTGTCCATGATCCACGTTCTAATATCTGTGGCCTCTCACTCAATGCAGGCTGTAATGTACAACAAAAACTTTCAGTTGATTTATAATGCATATAGCATTGCTTATGAAGCTTCTTTTTGAGACAGTGTAACTATTAGTAAGCACTTAAAACAAATAACAAGTCAGAAAAGACTTCAAGAAATAACCTCCAATGAATTAAACCTCCAATGAATAACCCCTTATGAATAACCTTCAATGAATAACTCCTAATGAATAATTAACCTCCAATGAATAACCCCTAATGAAAAACCTCAAATGAATAACCCCCAAGGAATATTACCTCCAATGAATAACATAAAGGGAATAACCTATTAATTGCATGTAAGCCTTTTACATGTAACCTAAGATGAATAAATGCAATGGAATAATATTACATTTAAAGAACTAACCCTAACCATGCTGGAACCAGCATGGAACCGAAAGTGACCAGCCTTTGCTACCAGTATAGAGCCAGGTCTGCCTGCACAACTTTGTAGTCTGACTAGGGCCGATACTGCTGACTGACAAATTTTAATTGTTTTCATCTTGATAATGGACTCTTCCAAAAAAGAAAGCTGGAAAGGTTCAATAAAGAATTTCAGGTGGTTAAGAATAAATATTGAAAGAATAATTGATCATTATATTGATAAGGCCTATTTGTACTTTCAACAAATAAACAAACGTCTTTCAAAAACACTGAATCAAAACATGTCAACATTTCCCATATAAAAGTACACTCTTTCTTAAAGAGTGCATTTTATTCATTTTAATCTCAATCAAATATTTTCATTTTGATTTGTCAACATAAACTTTAATATCTTTTCAAAGCAGTATAGTATTTAGCAATCAACGACTTTAAATTGGCAAAAGCAATTGATTATAACTTTTATCAATAACGTGTCAACAAATTGTCCGAGCCTCTGTCAGAGTGATTTTCCTCGTATCAAATTAAATTGAACTTCACAAATTACGACTTAACAATATACGTACATTTTAGTATTTCTTATTGAAAAAGTGTATTGCTGTCCGGCTGTCATTTATTTTATCTTAACCTTTAATGTTAGATAATTTCAGGCTAAGGATAATAAATTAGTCCTTGAAATTTGTACAATCCAACATTCATGAAATATTTCGTAAATGTAGGGTTAAAGCAGTATGACACTAGATTCATGTTGATATTTATGAAAAAAAATTTTTAAAATGCTCTAATTTAGAAAATGTTTGTGCAAATAAATAAAATTCATCCAATCAAAAGTCATTTTCCATCCATAGAAATTTCACGTAAAAAGTCAAAATATGTCGAAATTATCAATCTCAATGCCTAAAATAGTAAATGGACTGAAATATGAGGATAAAATTAGTAACTCAATTCCCTTAGTTGACCAACAAAATGTTAATATGTTTTTTTGTTAATTTTTTGTTGGGTTTAACATCGCACCAACACAGTATAGCTCATATGGCCACTTTCCAGCTTTTACTGGTGGAGGAAGACCTCAGAAGCCCCTCTGTACATTATTTCAGGCATAAAAAGACACCAGAGTTAAGAACCACTAACATTTCATAAGCTAGCTACATAGCTTGCTCACATAAAGATCATCCCCAAGACACTGGCAAGGCTTGAACCTACAGGGCTGAGAGGCAAGTAGTTTGATGTCAAAGACCTTTAAACCACTCAGCCACGGACGCCCCTACAACTTTGTAAGTATGTCTTAGATTATGACTATTTATTCACTCTTTGAAACTATTGTTATAATATATTTGTATAAAGTTTGAATGTTTGAAAATGTGTACACTCATCTAGAATTGTTGCTTTAAAGATAGGTATGTGTCATTCAGGTAGTGTCAACATCAGTTTTTTGCCTTGTCTTGTCATTTTTACAATGATTTATTTGTATTTAGAAATTTAAAGTATTCAAATAAGATCTGTGAACTCAAATTTCTACCTATATGATTTTTTCCCACAAACTGAAAAAAAATTGCTTACAAGGGAATTGTCAAACTTTTATAAAATTAAGAATTGTGATATCGGACATATTGTTGATAACAAAAAAATCTTTGTGAATAAAGAAAGCAAGAAACTCTGTGAAAAAAATCTTTGTGAAAGCAAAAAAAGTGAGCAAGTATTAGTAAGAAAGTTTTTGTGATTTAAGAAAGTGAGTAAGTTTTTGTGAAAGAAGAAAGTAAGTCAATCTTTATGAAAAATGAAGGAGATTAAATCTGGCACAAAAGACTTTAATTTAAGAGCCTGTCCATTTTATTCACAATAAGGTGTAAAAAAAAATGTTCTATACATGTATATATATGGATATCTAACATGGGAGATGAAGCATTTATTTCTCTTTGTCTCATAAACATTTTTTGAATGATGCCAAATTTGTTTATGCCAATATTTTACTTCTACTACTGCAGAAATAACTGTCACTTTGGTGCAGTAATGGGTTAAGTCCTTCTAAATTTAATAGGACTTAACCAGTTATTGCACTAAAGTGACATGTTGTAACTTACACAGAAAAACAGGCTCCAGGTACATATGAGAAGACACTTGAAAATGATTCATAATTGCTACCTTATTAGACTTGACAATGGTGTAAAACTGATAGAATTTGTTGAAAAATATACTAAACTGTACTCCTGTACATTTTGAATATTTCAATTTTTTCATTCATTTTTGATGTATCATTCATTCTAAACTGACAGGCTTTCATAAATCACCAGAAGTCACAAGTGGTCTGTGGCATACACCCAAGAATGGGCTGTATTTTATGCTTTTTCATGATAACAAATACAAAATTATATTTCTAATTTGTACACTATCAGGTTATATAAAGCATTCAAATTTAAATTAATTCATTTCCTTGCAAAGTGTGTAAAGCCAAAATATTCAAATTGAAAATGCACTCTTTTCTTTTTTAACTTATAATGGCCCAACTGAATCATTAAAATATTTTCTGCATGCACAAAGTGCTTTTCAAAAAGCCGCAACTGCAGGCAAAATTTCTTGCTACTACAAAAAAAATTTTTATTGCAGACTTCTTTTGCTAAACCATTACAATAAAAAGTGTTAATTTTAATCTTAAGCCCACTTACGCACTTCACAACAGACTGCCTCAAATTTTCTGTGGCTACTAATAGATTTATGATGGGAAGTGCACTGAAATTGTATCATGTCTTATTTTTAAAGAATATAAACAATTAACTTTACAATTATTTTATTGGGTATTCATTCTTAAAGTTTGCATGTCATACCTACTAAAATGAATGTAAAAACAAAAAGCACCTGTCCCTACATGACAATGTCTGGAGTTTTTATTACCAAAAGAAAATTAATTGTACAGCCTAAGATGAAGGTAATATAATTTGTACTCAGAAGAAAGCAGTGACAAATTTATAAGTTTGTGTACAAGACTAAAATGCCAGTAATCACTGTGCTTTTAGTGCTTTCTTTTTTCAGGCTTTTTTGTGCTTAATTTCTTTATTCAGGCTTTTAGTGCTTACTTTATTCAGGCCTTTTTTGTGCTTTCTTTATTCAGGCTTTTTGTACTTTCTTTATTCAGGCTTTTTGTGCTTTCTTTATTCAGGCTTTTTTGTGCTTTCTTTATTCAGGCTTTTTGTGCTTTCTTTGTTCAGGTTTTTTTGTGCTTTCTTTATTCAGGTTTTTTTGTGCTTTCTTTATTCAGGCTTTTTGTGCTTTCTTTAATCTTTATTCAGGCTTTTTGTTCTTTCTTTATTCATGCTTTTTGTGCTTTCTTTAATCTTTATTCAGGCTTTTTGTTCTTTCTTTTTTCATGCTTTTTGTGCTTTCTTTAATCTTTATTCAGGCTTTTTGTTCTTTCTTTTTTCAGGCTTTTTGTTCTTTCTTTATTCATGCTTTTTGTGCTTTCTTTAATCTTTATTCAGGCTTTTTGTTCTTTCTTTATTCATGATTTTTATGCTTTTTTTATTCAGGCTTTAAGTATTAATTACATCAACTTTCAAGGTCAAAGTTCTGTGGTTATTTTCTGGGCTTAAATATTATACTATTATTATAAATAAGGGAAGACAGACCTTCGTTTAAGGTCATTTAACAAGTGATTAATTTTCTTTAACCTTAAACCAATCTTGAGGAATCAAAAATAAATGTGGATCCATCAATAAGGTCACAGTTTGAATAATTTATTTTCCATGATTCCCCTAATAAGGCTTAGCAAATCTATTTGGTTTATTAAATCTGGAAAGCATTGACCATCAAACAAATTGAATTAGTACTTGGTACAATGTCTATTTCCTTTAAAAGATATTTTCTTTCTTTGGCTATTTATACTGCTGGACATACAGAAAAGAGGCATAACTGAAATAACTGAGAGTTATGGGACCTGTGCCCATCATGATAATTACAAAGAACAAGCTAGTGTGTGAAGTTTCAACCCACTCTTCAGTAAGTTTTTGAGATTCCCGAATTTGCATGCAAAAACGTAATGTTCAAAGACTAAATAATAGAGTGATGGCGATGTTGACCCTGGGTTGAATATATTATTCAGCTCTCCCTATATTTGAATATTCAAGCTGATGACATAGATAGCTTCAAATTATATTCTGGTTAATTCTTGACCATGAAAGGGAAACAATAGAATGACAATAGAATGTTAACTTTGGGGAGTTCATCAAAATTGGGTAGAGTGTCAGCTAGGAATACCTTGTGACACTTATAAACAAGCATAATACTTTTAAGCCTTATTAAAAGGATAGGTATTTTATTATTTATAATACAATATCAGTTTTAAATCTGCTCTCACAGTGTATGATATATTTTTACATAAGCCAGACAAATGAAAATCCACTTATGCAAGTACAAGTAGACATTATTAACCGATAAAAACTTTCCCTAATTTTGATCGGACAAAATTCATACTATATTCTGTTTAATAGAAAAATGTGCCAACAAATTACATGAGGTTAATCATATTATGTTAATCCTTTTAATAGTACTTTTACATAAACATAAATAATTTTTTATAGCATTTAGTACTTTAGACCAGAAATAAAAATACAGAA